CCGAGGTCAAGGACTTCGACACCAGCGCCTGTGAGGATGAGACATGCTTGCAAAAGGAGACACGGGATTCGTGCTCGATGTAGCTGGAAAAAATGGGGATTTTCGTACAAAGCTAAAAAAGAATGATCGATACGGAATTGCGAGTGTGCTTGGCTTGCCCCCTAAAAACATGCAGACTTCAAGCCCTCATTCGCTAAAAAAAAAAGCAAGCAAGGCTGAGAGAAAAAAAAGCCCATCAAAACAAACGGATTTCGCCAAAAAGAACAAACCCCGTGAAGCAAAAGAAATAAAAAAGCCAGGGGTAGCAGAAAATGACCACCGCCAGACTGCAACACCACTGCCTTGCCCGCCTTGCTGTTTGCCAGTCACATTGTGCAAAATAAGAAAAAATGCAAACACACTTTGACCAAAATACAAAAAGGCCGTATTTCTCTCCGATATAAATACCCAAGGCCTGCGCCCTGTTCTTACCTAACGTCGTTGGTTTACACATCCAAGTTTTTTATTTCATGCCTCTAAAACATTGTGCGTCGGCACTTTCTTTTACTGTTGTCTGTGTTAGTTAGTCTAGCTATTTGTATTTTCTATATTTTTTCCAGCCAAGCATGTTTTTCACCAAGAGCAAACGCACCAACTCTGACTTGTCCGTCGACAGCACGCTGTATGTCAACGCGTCTGAGTTTATCAACTATATCAACAAGGACCAGATTTCGGGCCCTGTCGCTGCGCGGCCCATGGGCGCAATGGACATTACAGCCTGCGACGTCATCTGTCGTGGCATTCCCTCGGCAGCCGAGATCAAGCTGCTCCGCAGATATGTGCGCAAAACTGCCTCTGCACTAGGCATTCGTGTCAACCGCAACATTGAGATGAGCATAGCAGTGTAAGGGGGGTTTCCCCTCTGTCTTGATTCCTAACTCGAATCTGCATCTCATGCTCACAGCACTGGGTGTTTGTTTTGCTCTTTATTACTTTCAAACAGTGTTTTGCATGTGCCCCTCGTTTTGTCTGCATCTCTTACATTTTAACTTGTCTGCAAATCCTATATGAACTACCCCCCTATTTTTTAGTGTCTGGTTGTCGCATGTCTTTGTGACTGCCTATACCTTTTCTTTTTTGCATTTATCTACCAATTAGAAGCTTGCCCCATCCATTTTTTTTGTAAAATAAACCTCTTTTCCCCAATTGTGCAAATTATTTTATTGATTGAGGTGGAAGTTGCCGAAAACGCACACATAAAAAGCCAAGTGTGCTAGAAAATAAAATAAAATACTCGACAATTAAATATTGTTTTTCCAATTTGCATTAGTATCCACAATTTTTGAATGCTTTAATACCAAGAACGCCAAGTACAGCAGTGCATCGTCAAAAAAAGGAACACAATAAAACAATTGATGTTCCCCGAGACAGAAGCAAAAACAGCCTGATGAATCAAATAAACTTTTGTTACAAAATTGTGCAGCTTAAAATTTAACAGTCTATTTTGATCTTTTGACATGTCTCGGTTGTCAATAAAATGCACGGCGTCATCATTCATTGAAAAGAAAACAAACACCCGTATTTAACCAACCAACATGGCATATATACATATTCTTTAGTTTGATAAGGTAATCAAATAAACATGGTCCCATAGCAATTATTTTGCTCTAATATGTAATGAAAGCATCAAACTCGGGAATTGGTCGGAGGTCAAGATAAGAGGCATACCACCAGTCAAAACGCGAGTGTAAGGAAGCATGTGGTTTTACCAGCGTATAGCAAACAGTGTATACATACCGCATTCAAGTGTTGCATACAGCGCAAAAACGGAACCAAATGTCTTATGTTTGGCCTGTGTATTTTGACTGCCAAACACGCCATCGACAGCATCCGTTGACCATTCACATGCGAGATGATGTCCAGTGAAGAAAAGTAGCAAATGTCTTTTTATTGGCTGGTGATATGCTTCTGTGCATATTACGGCATTGTGGAAACAAAGGCCTGGCCCAACTGTATACGCGGAGCTTTTTTTTATCATTTTCTGAAGAAGGGCATTTTATGTGTAAAGCAATAAATTGCATTTTTGTTCAGAACGGCGTGACATGTGGTGTAGCCTTGAAATAAAAAACACTGGCCACATCATCATCAAGTGTTCGAAAAAGAAAGACAAAAGCATAATAAAATTCAACGCTTGTTTTTCAGTCTTTTGTATTCAAACACAACTAATTTATACAATATATAACTGTTAATTTCCATTCTATTATCAACGCCACCAAAGTATTTAAACACCACGCCCACGCATATCCTTACACTATTACAAAGTATAGCTATGACGGATACAAGTCCTAGCCCTGCCCAACTGTCGCCGTCGCCGCTGCCAAATTTTGGCCATGGTCGCAGCGTCACCGAGGAGGTATTTGTAACGCCCACATATATGCAGCGCTCGCAGCAACAGCCTATACCAGCAAAGGTTGTTCGCCAGTCTTCCGTATCGTCGGTGGACAAAGGCAAGCCCTCGCCTTACTCTTCCAAGGTCCGGACCAACCAGGCAGACAAAACACGTGCAAGCAGTTCTGGTATTGGCGGTCCTGTTAAACGACGCGAAAGCATGTCAGGCATAGGCAACAACCTTCGCAGCAACAACCCAGCCGGTCTTGGCCGTGCTGTTGGGAAGATGCCTGTGCAACAAAAGATAATCGGCACGGAGGAGCGGCAACAGCAACAAGATCAGGGGGAACAGGAACAGCAGCAGCAGCGTCCTTCGGGTCTGTCAAACCTTTTTCGCCGCGTAAGCAACCGTGGTCAAACCGTGGATGCTGCACCGTTTAGAGATCCTTTTGCCGAGAATCCCAATCAAGAAATAAGCGTGCCTCTTAGCAACGCCGCTGCCGAAACTGTGCCCATGCAGCGTCGCGGATCAGCCAGCTCATCATCAACAGTCGCCGCTGATACATCAAGACATGTTGCCGGCGCAACAGTGTTTCCAACAAACCGAGGTTATGCCCCCAGATCGTGTACAGAAGCACCAGAAGCTATGCCAACACAGGCACTTCCTCGCCGCGCCACCACTATCTCAGTACGATATACCAATAGACGTGATGGCACCTCTCGGTCTCCTGCTGCAGTAGCCACCGTCCGTCGCTTAGGCAGTATGGCGCCTCAAGAAAGCAGCGGCGAGCCTTCTGGTTCTCAAGGTAATCCCCTGAATGTGCGGGTCTTGCACAGGTCACACTCGGTGTCTCATAGAGACAAGTGTGCGAGCTCGTGGAACCCCCGTAGCCCGTTGACGCCGCTAACAATGGGAATGTCGGTCGGGTCACCAAAGGCAGGAGATATCATGGATATTGTGGGCTCTCCCTCAAAGCCATCGGTCATTTTTGCTCCTGTTCATCACAGCGCTGGCATAGGCGGCTCAGTTGAAAGCAAGTCTTTAATGCACGAGCGTGTCGGACTCGGCGGCAAACAGGGAAAGGATTGGATGGCAGACAGACCTTCCAATCTCGGCGAGCCCGCACCACAGAACCAGCATCCAGAATCCGGACTTACAAAGATTATGAGATCGCTCAACATTTCAGGCAAGCAGGATACGCCCCGGTCTGTAGAGGAAGCAAAATAGTAAATAAAGTTTTTATATTATTATCATTATTATTTTAACAAAATTAAAAACGCGGCCTACGCATAAGACATTGACATCACTCGTCAGCGTTAACGGCATAAGACACACTACATGTGGCTCAAGCTCAAGCAGAAATTCTGACTGTGATCTGGGAGCATAGTCTAGGTCACACACGTAAGGGCAATCCAAAAAATCAGTTTAGGAAAATCATTCAGTAATTAGCAAGGTGACTGAAGATATAAAAGCTCTGTACACGTAGGTCGAGGTGACGCTGTATGGTGGGGGATCAAACCAAAGATCTTTGGTTTAATAAGCGTTACAAGACTGACGCACTACCACTGTGCTAAAAGGGCCTGCGTCATTTGAGATTTTTGCAAGTTTTTAAAGCCAAATTACCTGCTCTGTCGGATTTGTAAATTAAGCGTATATCAGTTACCGATATCTATACGGTTAACAAACGAGTTAGTGTGGGTTTGATTGATTTGTTTTATAAACCTCTTTCCATTTTGAGTCGAAATCAATATAATTGCGCATTTCCTCGTTTACTGGTGGTATATGGTTGTGGTTTCTCGGATGTTTAAGCGTTTAGACATCATATATTCGATACAAAGCACGATAATCTACAAATATTATTGAAATCATTAGAATAATACCATCGTAGTTACGAATAGTCAATAGTAATAAAAGTGATTGAACGGTTATATAAATAATAAATATACACAACAAAATATAGCTGGTGCAAATAATTAGGATGGTTTAATGTTTATAACAACTGTAAAAAGGTAATATTATGATATACGTATATAAAAGGAGTTAAGAGAACAAGAGTGCTATGTGCAAGTGACGATGAAGATATAAAGAAAGGTAAACAAGTTAATCAGGTTGTGTCTAATAATTAACAAAAACAGCGTTTTGTTGCTCCTTGAGGCATAAAAGCAATATTTTATGGTTTAGACGGCAAAGGCGACACAAGGTCACTAGAAAAACAAACAGAATAGAGCGCGTAGAGGAATTAGTGCTATTTCGGATATTCAGATCAGTAATAATTGTCGTATTTAAAAGTAAAAATGTCAGAAACGGAAACAGACCAAAACTAAACTAGAAACCAGATATTCCTGTCCCGTTTGTCCAGGAAAATGTCTAAGAACGCAGTTTTTATACCTGTCAAGGCTAGACAGATTGTTCAATTGAGTCAGAGGGTAAATAGTACAAAAAATAGAATTTATGAGCAAAAACCAGCATTTAGTGAGTGCGACGGGTGCCGCGTACAACCACTGGTATGCCATTATCGGATCTAGTAGGTTCTGTGGGTCGCTCAATAGCAAACTAAAACCGGCGGAACGTCAGGTGACCCAGCGGTAGGCAGATCACAATTGTAATTGGTACATTTTTTAGGAAAACAGAAGCCCTTTTAGCTCAGTGGTAGAGCGTCAGTCTTGTAACCCTTAGGAAACTGAAGGTCGTTGGTTCGATCCCGGCAGGGGGCAATTTTTTTGTATTTCCATGGGTTTTAATTTTTCAATTTTTACTTTCGCGGCTCTTAAAACAACAAAGACCTTCTTTGTACACTCCAATTTCAACATGCTAACGTTTTATTGTCAGCCCATTAGCTCGTTGCTTAAGATGTATTGTTCCAGCAGAGGTAACAAGGATTGGAGTCAGTTAACAGGTTAGCTGGCAAATTATAATAGAAATTTTTATCATGGCAGACATAGAGGTTACATGTAGTAACAATACCTGTTCTGAAACTGGGTCAGCCTCTTTTTTAATAAAAAACTCAATTCAGTTTAGTTAGGGAAAGGAGAGAATGTGATCTTAAACACTAAATTTAGAACAAAGCGCTAGAAACACCAGCAATCAGGAGTGCAGTGAAGGACATGGTCGAGATGATCGAGCCAGCACCGCTGGACTTGCTGTCGTCCTCATCATCAGAGATATCATCGCTATCGCTTTCCTCGGAGGAATCAGAGTCATCGGAATCAGAGCTGTCATCGTCGCTTTCGTTGCTGTCAATCTCGTTAGCTTCTTCTTGCTCGCTGCCAAGCTCTGCTTCTTCCTCATCAGAGCCGTTTCCAGCAGCAGCTGATGAGCCCGATCCAGAGGAACCGACCGATCCGTTGCTAGAATCACCAGAAGCGCCAGCGTCAGAGCTGCCATTCTGACCAGCAGCATTGCTGGAGTTAGAGTCAGTGCCGGTACCCGAACCCGAACCAGAGTTCGAGTTGTCGCCAGAGCTGGCATTGCTGCTTGAGCCGTTGCTAGAGCTAGTGTTGTCGTTGGAGCTGTTTCCCTGGCTAGAGTTGGAGGTGGTGTTGTCACCAGAGCTAGCGTTGCCATTTGAGTTTTCGCCCGAGCTAGCATTGTTGTTAGAGTTGGAGGTGGTGCTGTCGCTGTTGCTGTTGTTGCTACCACTGTTAGCATTCTCGTTGGTAATGCTGATTCCAGAGTCACCAATCTGACCACCAGGTGTCTTGGTGGCTTCTGGAGGGGTAACGTCCTCAGCAGTAGTGGAAGCACTGTCATCGGCTACGGAGCTAGAGCCATTGTCTTCGGTGTCGCGGCCATTGCCCTTGCCGGAATCACCATTGCCATTGCCATCAGTTTTGGCATCGTCTTCAGTGTTAGCACTGCCATTTGCAGTGGTCGAATCGGCAGAGGAGCCAACGTCCTTTGAGCCAGCCTTTTCGTTGACAATCGCCAAGGCGTTGCCAATGCCGTTATCAATTGTCTGAGCCTTGACAGCAGCAGAGGCAAGCACGGTGCAGAGAGCAAAAGTCGAGACAGTAAACTTCATTATAGATGACTTGGTTCTGTGTTGTAGAGGGTGTTAGTGAAAGGTGTGGGTAGACGTTGAAGGTAAAAAAAGGTGCTAAAAAACGTCTGTTAATGTTAGGGCGGGCGGTTGATGAGAGGCGGATAGGTAAGAGGAATAGAGGTAGTGAAGAAAGAAAGAAAGAAAGAAAGAAATAGAAGAGGAGAGATGGCAAAAAAAGAGGGGCATAGTCGCTATTCAAACTGTGTCTCTCAAGCGAAACTATCCAAGAAAGAATAAAAAAGACCCATATACAGGTTTGCTCTGTTCTTTCAAACCCGAAATGTACATTTCGCAGCGAGGAACATCATTCATCATTTAAAAAAAGTGGATCAAACCGTCTTTTGTTTATTATATTGCTGCCTGAAATGATGCACACAAAAGATGATCGACATGCTTTTTCGACTCCTATATCTATGCACGCGGTGGGATGCAGAAAACACATGGTGGTCTACACGGTCCGCCAATTCAAAGCAACTGTGAAAAAGAAAACAAAACAAAAAGAAAAAGAAAAGGACCGCTGATCACAGAATTCCAAAGACCGTCGCACTTTGTAAACAAAGTTAAAAATAAAATTCAGTCTTTAAGATCAGTGGCAAAAAGAGCCAGGTTCTCAGGAGAGGTGGTGCGCAAGGTATAATAAACAAGCTCTGCGTCGTCCATGCCCAGTCGGCGACGCACAAACCTGACACGTCCAATGTCCAGAAAGCGCTTTACAGCGTGGCCAGCGCAGACGCGCTGCGCATATGACAAACCGGAATAATGCGCCGGTTCCGAGTCTTTTTCAAAAGCAGAGCCTGGGCTAACGGGCGGTGGCAAGTTTATCGCCCAGCCCGTCATAGAAGCAAGATGCCTAAAATCGTTCCGCTGGTCGTGGCTCCACTGGCTACTTTCCGTCGAGTGGCTAGCAACCGCAGTAGACAGGTACTCATGGTCTACATACATCGAGTATCTGCAGGCATGATGGCAGCAGAGAGCAATGGCGACACCGGCAATGTGGCCCCCAGCCTGCTGGTAGCGCTCGAGACATTTTAGCGTCAGATCCGTGGCGCCGCCGCACAGATGTTTTGAGTAAGCAATGATCGGACGCAACACAGGGTTCCCGGTCAAGGGGTCTGTGGCGCGCAAGCCTTCAAGACTGGCCAAATCAAAATCCCGAATATCAATGTTGATACGCTCGAGTTGCTGGCTGGGGTCTTGGTGGTCTTGGGTCTTCTGGGCACCGTTGTCTTGCTGGCCAACCTTGAATTTTTGCCGAAAAACCTTGCGGTCCACAAGGTAAACGTGGCTTTCTGGTGCTGTGTCGGGATTGGCAGCGACAACAGCGGCGTGGACATATACAGAAAGCTCGCCTTTTCCAGAGCCAAACTCGATAAACGCGTATTTGGAATCCAGAAGCCCTCGCTTCTCAAGGTGACCAACGATTGAAGCCTGTTGCTGTGCATGCTTTTGGTTGGCCTTGATCAGTCTTTTCTGGTCAAGCGCAGAGTGAGAGCGCACATCTGTTGGGAACTCCTCGGAGCAGCGGACCCGTATAAGCAGTTCGCTCAGAGAACACTGTTCTACATCGCTCTCTGCAGACAGTTCCTCAACAGAGCGCAGATATGAGAGCACCACAGGCTTCAGCAGTCTTTCCACTGATTGTCGATCCAGCGGCTGCTTCTCATGCTTTTGGCTAGTGCTCACCTCTGGCGGTGCCCAGTCGCTGAACACGCGCGAGGTAGTGCTCATATACGTCAGATCGCCGGGCTTCAGCATTAGACGCGGATCGGCCTTTCCCAGCCCTTCTTCTTTCCAAAGGGCACCGGCCTCTTCAAACGAGTCATGCGTGTAGCCAGGCGGGAGCAACGCGATGTTGCAGTCGGGCGCTGTGTAAGTAGGCCAGATCTCTGGAGGACGCGCATTGCAAAGCGCGGCCATATGCCTTTTTAGCTTGTGCAGATCGACTGAGTGTGACGGATCATAGGGACATGGTACGCGAGTTTTTGGCACATTTGCATTGGCACCTAGGAGGTTGCTTTGCTTTCCAACCATGTGCTCACCACAGTATTTGCTGTTGCTTTTGGTCGTAAATGGACAGTAGCGGTTCTTTTTGGCTACAAAAAAGCGACACCGGCCATCATCCTCAACAGGCGGGACTTTTGAAGGTTTTGGTGGCTTTAAAGCTGGTTCACACATGTTTTGACCAGTTGAAGAAATAACGATGTAACGAGCTTGCAAACAAGGACAACTGTGGTATAGTTTTTTTTCTTTCCAAGATTGCAGTTATTTTTCAGCTTGATTCAAGCGTATATACGATTGCGATAATTTATGGTATAGTCGATGCCCTCTTCATCCTTTATTTTTGGGTTTCAAAAGACATGGGTGGTTTCTTGCTGGTTTATACAGATTCATATATGCAATCCAGTGACATAAAATTACCATTTCCAATGATCTATCTGGCCAAGCCAGCAAAGTGCGTGTGGCTTTCGCGATCGGCCATTGGTCATCAGCATGAGCCCGAGCCTAATCAGCGAATCGAGCACACAGTGTACAGTGCCGAAATGTCTATTCTAGAAGCTCATCGATGTCGCTGACACGCTTGCGAGAAAGCTGCTTGCGCTTGACAGGGTCCATGATCTGCTTGCGCAGACGGATCTGCGTAGGAGTAACCTCAATGGCCTCGTCTGGGTTAATGTACGCAATAGCCTCTTCGAGCGACCAGGGCCTGACAGGCGTTAGACGAATCGCGTCGTCTTTGCCCGCAGCGCGGATGTTGGTTAGCTGCTTTGCCTTAGTGGGGTTGACCTCGAGATCTGTGCCATCCTTGCTGAGCTCGCCAACAACCATGCCGGGGTAGACGTCGTCACCGCTGCGCACAAAGAGCCGTCCACGCGGTTCAATCATGTTGAGAGCATAGGCAGTAGCAGTTCCCGAAGACAGGCAAACCATGCTGGACTTGCGCGTCTTGTCAATGGGGCCCGCATAGTCGTCGTAGCGAAGGAAGGCGTGGTTCATCACACCGGTGCCGTGGGTGTCGTTTTTGAACTCGGACGCATAGCCAAGCAGGCCGCGTGTCGGGATGTGGAACACCAAGCGCGCCTTGTCGGCCACGTCAGTAAACGACTTGAGTTCACCCTTGCGCTTGGTTAGCTTCTCAATCACCACGCCCGAATCTTGGTGGTCAACGTCGATGGTAATCTCCTCAAATGGCTCAAGAATGGCACGGCTGTTGGCAGGGTTCCGCTTGAACAGCACTCGAGGCGGCGTGACCGACAGCTCGAAGCCTTCGCGCCGCATAGTCTCGATCAGCACAGATAGTTGCAGCTCGCCCCGACCGCGAACTTCCATGGCCTCGGACTTGCCGTCGTCGACAATCTGCAGCGCGACGTTGGTCTCTGCCTCGCGGCGCAGGCGCTCACGGATCATGCCTGATGTCAGCTGTGAGCCCTCGCGACCAGCCAGCGGCGAGTCGTTGACCGAGAATGTCACTGAGATAGTAGGCGGATCGACCGGGATAAACTCTAATGGCTGATCCACCTCGGGTCCGGCGATGGTCGAGTTGACGCTGACGGAGGGCACGCCGCTGATCGATACTACGTCGCCTGCGCCGGCCTGCGCCATTTCGATCTGCTGCACACCGCTGCGCAAAAATAGCTTGGTGACCTTTCCTTCTTCCTTGACGGCTCCAGATCC